CACAGGTAAAAAGGAAAGAACAAGATACTCAGGGGGGAAGGTGTTGTGAGCAGGCTCCTTTGTCACAAGACACCAGGGGGGAATGCTTGCTTCCTGTACAAGTCTGAAGGTGTCTGCATTCTGTCATGGATGTCACCTTCCTTTATGGCCAGCCATTTTGGGTGATGGGTTAGTCAGAGTGACTTGCTATTCCCAACTCACCTTGACAATTTTTTTTCATTAGATAGGTCTATGCCATGGTACCTCTTGTTGATAAGGCACATTCTTGGGATTTCTTTCTTGTTTGGGTCTTCTGGAATACAGACTTGCCCATGCACACAGCAGGAACAAATGGTACATGTTTGCTATCAGCTGTCATTTGAGAGCTAACTGGAGAGAAAAACAAGAAATCAATTCAACTTCCCAATGGGTCACTTCCTACCAAATAGGCATGAACTCAGTGGAGAGATTTTCACAGAGGTTTAAGCAGCATTCCCATTGGCACAAACTGTCCCTTCATCCAAAGGCCCAGGCCTGTATATAAATCTCAAAGCAAAACAATGAGGGGCCATTTTAAATCAGAATTTATGGACATCCAATTGAATTGACTTTCCAGTTTGAAGTTTTTGCAGGAATTGCAGCAGTTCACCCCTGTATTGCCTGTGATGTCACAGTCTCACATTTCAAGGCCGGTCTTTTCTTGAATCTTATTTGATGATATCGGCTAATGCAGGAACTATGCACAGCATACTGGACATACTCTCACCACTTTTTGGTATTTGTCTGACCAAAAGCAGATGTGGTCAGACAAACTGTCCCAAGGAAATATAAAGGTATATCGTAGAAGTCCCAAAAGAGAAATTCTGGGGTTTTTTTCATCCTGTTTTTGTGCTTATATTAAAATAACATGCCTTCTTTTGTGACATTGGTACACACAGCGGTATACATATATATGGCCATATCTGAAATGGACTTCATGAGCTTCTATTGTCAGCACTTCCGCGTGTTTTTTCAATGGCTGCAGACCTACATGTAGACCTTGCTCTGGATACTGCCAACTTCAGATGTGACTTATGTCTGATCAATTTGGCACAAGATTGATTGTGCTGGTACATTTTGTGGGACCACTTTTTGTGCCTGATTTTGCGCACTGTAAATACTCAGCAACATATCAGGCAGACTCCTGACAACAGTCTCAAGGCACCAGTAAAAAAAAAAGAAAAGCCAACTGATTGGAACTGAACTGGTTAAAAGTGTGATGGCACCTGTTGCTCTTGGGGCTTCAGGTGAAGAATTCCTGCACTGAAACCCAATCTGTGCTGTTATTATTAAACTGTGCGATTCTGAGTAGTAACCAGTCTGCAGCCGGTGGACTATTAGCTTGGCCATGTGGCTATTCAGGAAAACATGTAGAGCCTAAAATGCGAGCATTAATAGCAAGCTGATATTCTGATGAACTCTGGCAATGTTGCCCACCTCTAAGCCCTGGCTTGCATAAATACCTCACGCACACTGTACGTGCCCAATTCTCACATGAAACTGCATTCACCAATCTGTATCAACTTGTGAAGAATGAGGGGGTATACTGTAAAGGTACATGAGTATGTATCAACTCTAGTGCAGACCCATAACACACACACAAAAAACCATTCTCGATCATCTCTCCAACCAGGACTATAAATGGGTCTCTGAGAGGGCAGAGACAGCTGCTGCATTTGATTTGGCATCTGTGTTCAAAATGGCAGCTCTCAAAAAATATCACCCCAGGAGCTGAGATGGTTTTTAGGAAAGTTCATGAGTATGGCAAGCAGGGACAGTACCGGTAGATTTGATATGCATCTCAAGCACCAGTCCCGGTATATGTACATGTACATGTGTATGAAAACTTTACAAATCAAATTTCCATATTTTTACCTCCCTAAAGGGGTATCTAATTTACATGCATGCCCTGATTTGAAATCAAATACTAACATGGGCGAATTTTTTTCTCCTCGCAAAGCAGAGTTGCGAAAGTTGGGAAAGCAAAGGCAACAGAAGGAAGCTGCAGTCTCACCAGCGCCATTTCTCATCCCAACATGCCAACAAACCACAACAGTCGCAAATTGCAAAAGCCAGCATGGACACATGCGTGAAACTAATTTACCAATCCTCCGGCCAATGATTAGTGCGCTTCCCAGAAGACCAAGACAAATGACGAGAGTTACCGGTACTAGCAAGTCATTCACCCCCATAATATCACATGCAAACATGGCCCATGGAATAAGGGGCTCTTTTTTCGGTGGGAGGAACATGAGTTCACAAATTGTCGGCACAACTGTCCTTGGCCATACATGTACTACCACATTGAAGTGATTAAAACAAGAAGTTTCTGATGACTTGCTGAATGAAGTCCAACCTCTTTCAGGGGTACTAGGCCTATCTAGAGCTTAACCACTTAACCACAGGAAACGAAGGTTTAGCAGGGATAATTAATGATAAAAAGCAGATTCATTATCAAGCCCTGCTGTGTAACTTAAAGTAACCACTACCCAATCCAGAATGTATGACCTAACTTTCTTTACCAGATGATTCAATTCCTCAGGTGCACTTCCTTCTTAAATTCTGGATTTTCTTTCCGAAAGGACAGCAGTGGGTGCATGAGGGGCAAAGGTCACGAGAGTGTATGTACTTCCCCTCCCCCTCCAATTAATATCTTAGGATGCAGGGAGGGAGGAAACCTCTTTCAAGTGGGTTATGTCACAACAGCATGATGAAAATGATGTGGGAAATATGCGCTTCCTTCAAATCAGGAAAAGTCACCATCAGCCTAAGCCTTGGTGTTCATGCATGAATGACTGGGTGGGGATTTTCAGGGCAGGCCTGACTAAGAAAGATGAAGAGAGAGAGAGAGATGGAAAATGAGGCAGCCCATTTGGGGGTAGGGTTGTTACTACTGATGACAGCCCATTAAATTATCTAAATACAGAATCTCTTATGTTGGCTGTCCACAGCAAATAGGAAATGTGATACATATCCTATAGCTAATCTGCGGGTAAAAAGATTCTCTATTTTGAGACCACTACCAAAAATTCTAATAATCAATATAATCAGAGCATTCCAAATGTCAACTCATTCTTCAAAGTTCCGATCCTCACCACTCAGAAAGAGAATCTCTACACAGTACTGTTGCCAAATTTCCTCAAGATACTTATTCAGGATTCAAATCCTCAGATCTTACAAAACTTGCAGTTCCAAAACCGATCAGCCCCACAACTAAAAAGTTTTCACTGTCCAGTCAAAGACAACTTTCAAGAGTGGTGATTAGAGTACCTTGGACAAAACTGTGAGACAGGACACAGATCAGTTTGTGGAACATCAAACTTTGACTAAAGCACTCAAAAAAATGGCAACCTCTTCCCCTCACCAAAAACAGAACCAGCAAAGAGAAAACAGAACAAAACAACAAAAATAAAAAAAGCAAATCAAATTCCCCACAGTTCACTTTTCCTCCTGTCAATCATTATTTAGAGGGTTATCTTCTTCCTCTTTGGACTTCAAACTGACTCATATTCCTCCCCCTAGAAACATCTGACTTCATTTTTCATTCCCTGCCGGGACTCCCTGTCGGAGAACATCCTGCTGCCTCATTTTGGACTTGGAAACTTCCAAACAAAGTTTAATTTGATTTCTATCAAGGTCTGTGTGATTTATCATTCTTGACAACTTCAGGATTAGCAATCTGTAGTTCTCCTCATCCCATATAACTACGTATCAAAACATTACTAATTGGCTTAAAGCTCTCCACAAAACTATCAGAGTTAATCAATTTTTCTAGTTCCAGATGCGGTGTTTCCCTCCACTATCATTACACATCCAGTGGACAGTTTGCAGACAGATAACGTTGTTTTGGGTTCAATCAAAGGCCCAAACAAGGCAAATTTCAGAAGGAGTAGGGACTGGTGTCTTGCGCTATTTCAGCTTTTTGCTTTAAAATCGTAATTTGTTTTTATTGAAACTTTCAAGAAATATTGACTTCAGCTCAGTTAAATTTCAGCCATGTTTACCACAGAGTGAAATTCCTGCTTTAGCAGCAATACATCATGGGATAAAGTCACCATCTGTTTGTAAACATTGCCAAGTGGTAGTTGCTTTGTGCAACAGGGTTTTTTAGTAAAGGAAACATTAAGATAGAGTTTTCATTTCTCCGGATAACCAGTTTGTACATGTATCAGAGGTGGTAGCACATCAAATCTGCAAGTCCAAGTCAACTCACAAGTCAATTTGGTCCAATCACAAGCAGGTCACAAGACTTTGTCGATATGTAAGTAAAAGTCAAGTCACAAGTCAATTTGGTCCAATCACAAGCAAGTCACAAGATTGTTTGTCTACCTGTACGTACAAGTCAAGTCGCGTGATGTGTGGATTTCGAGCCACAGCCAAGTGATTCAGACATGGTCTTGGGAAGACAAGACTGAAGTTGAAGTTGCGAGCTGAACGAAATCTTATGCAGATCATTTTAAGAACTCAAGACTTCAGTTGATAGGCCAGATAGGCTATTAAAAACGTTAATGGGTTGAGTAGTTTTCTGACTTGCATTGGTAACAAGTCATAATGTGCAAGTCCAAATCAAGTCTCACGTCTTTCAGGGGGCTTTCACACTGGCCGAATTCCCCGGGAATTGCGCGACGTAAACAACAGCAGCTTGTGCATGTGCGTGCATGGCACTGTGGGATTGGACTTCTGCCCATTATTCATTCGGGAACTTCTGGATGGGCGCCCTCAATTTACACATTTCCTGGGGATTTAATTTTGGGGATTGGCTCTGCAGTGTGAAAGGGCCTTTTATTGTGAAACCTCAAGATTTCAAACTTTAATAACATTAATAAGAAGTATAAAGAAAGTACATGTCGGTAGCACATTGTATAACATACATTTACGCATGTCTGTAAGGTATATTCTCTCCATGCATTAAGGTACAAGACCAGTTTGAAGATTTACAGCATTGGACAATCAAGAGGATGGGATGGTTGTCAAGGACATACCCCGCAGCGGTGATGAAATGGGCTCCACCACGCCCCCGGGGCAGGAAGACTATCTTGGAGATGCTGCTGTCGTGGGGCTGTACTCCTGCCACGGCTTTGCCTGACAACTTGTCCCAGAAGAACAGTTTCCCACTCAGGGTGCCCCCAACGATCAGTTCTCCCTGAACCTGAGAAAATGTTGCACTTCATTTATCTCACAATGTATAATGCACAATTAGAATATACAGAAAGCTGAATCACTAGAAATCAACACTTGCAAACACACAGTGCAGGCTGTACATTCAAAATGGTATTAAGGTCACACTTTCTTTTGGTCAGATTACAAATGTCTTTTTTTTCCCTTTACTACTTTTGGGCAAATAAAAAGGCCATCATGTACAAGTATGTGGGATGTTGTTACTGTTGGACACAAAAACAAAATGCTTGCTGCGAGCTATTAATTGCTTTCAAAACCCTGCCACAGCATTAGTAAGAAAGTGTCCAATGGTAGTGAGTTTATTCATTGGAAAAATATGTACTGGTAAGCCTACCTTATTCATTCAGTGCCTTTTTAAACCGAACTCAAGCATCAAAATCGTATTACACAAATCAATGGGCAATACGGTAATTTGGACTTAACACAAGTGGCAGTATCTTCTGATGCAAAACCTTTTGGAGAAAATGAAAGTGTCTGGGCCACGAAAACAAACCAGAAGGAAGGAACACTAGCCAAAGCTCAAGAACACTGTCAAACCACTGAAATATTGAATGAAAAACGCAAATAAGTAATGACCCAACTTACATCAAGCGAAGTCACTGCATCTAAGTAGTCAGATAGCTTGAGGACACATTCACCTGTAGAGATGCTTGCCATCCGAATGGTTCTAATAGGAGAAAAAACAACAAAATAGACTTTTGTGATGAAAATTAAACCAATTACACCAACACGAGTCGGATGTCAAAACAATATTCACACCTCTCTCCTTCCCTTATTGATTGATTGCTGTTTATATACATACGTATACAATAGAAATTGCTTCGGCTCTCGTGCATTAAAAGTACTAAAAGTTAAGAAATACATATTTATAACAATACAATAATGAAGCAATAAAAAGAATTAATTTCAATAGCACTCAAAACTAACAAAGCAACAAATTACTTGGTTTCATTCAGTCCCCTGACTGCAGTTGGGTAAAAGCTTCTTCTGAACCATTCGGTATTACACTTAATTACTCTGTAACGTTTCCCTGATCGTAACTACTCAAATAACTCATTAGCTGGGTGAAATTCATCATTAATAATACTGCTGGTCCTATTCTCCACTCTAGATTTGTAAATTTCAAATTATTGTCGGAGCACCACTGGGTTAAATGCTGAAATTGATTGCGATAATTATACTCATCATTACCTTTAATAAGTCCAACAATGGTTGTGTCATCAGCATATTATTGCCAGTGAAAAGGTTTGCCTAAATTCGTGTTCAGCCCTGCTACAACACAGATTTGTTGACAGTGAGTCTCCCAGCGTATGTGTCACAGCAGTTTTGCACAAGCAAGACTCTAAGCACATTAAGTGGTACATGACACACTGCTATGACTAGTACATGTACTGTACATGAAGTTACATTATACTAGAAAGGGGGGCATTTTAAGTCTTGCTTGTGCAAAACTGCTATGACACATACACTGGAAGACTCAATAATCTGTGTTGTAGCAGGGCTGAGCACAAATTTTGGCAAACCCTGTAACTAGCAATAATCCAAGCGGCCCTTGGAAACAGGTACGCAACTCAGACTTTGACAAAAAAATGAGCAAGTTCCAACCTTTACAAGACTTTGTACTGTGTTTTTCAATTTTCAATGGTAAGAGTAATTTATTTAATTTAATTTATTTAATTTATTTCCTACTTTACACCTTACACTAAGGTTCCTATAATTTCAGTTTACAATGCTTTTGGTGAATTTCTGTCGGTATAGCTCCTTTTAGGAGCTGCTCATTAATAGACTCCCACAACATCTACAAACACTACACACAAGAAAATTGGTGCCTGTTACAGATTGTGATGCGCAAAGTGAAATGAATTCTTTATACAATGGTCAGCTGACAATCGTTGAAAAAATAACAAAATGTCTGTTTTGTCAACAACTACTGGGCGGAAATATTTGGCAGACTGATTGAGGCTGTTATGTACATGTACTTTCTTTCAAGTAAGATATTTCAGGATTATACAGTAGTCCAACTTGGGGGATTTTGCCAAAGGTGTACACTCCCTTTAAGGAGTTATTGCTTATTGAAATGCTGAAACTGAGCCTTTACCCCTCAAAACAAAGATTTACTGCCAACTCTTGTAGCCTGCACTAGATTCAAGATTGAAACTCTTACCACAAACGTTTATTCAAAGCACACCAAAAACAGAGTATGGTATGAACTTCTGTCAAACTTGAAAAAGTGAACTCTTGCCAGCATATAATTCACAGCTTGTTGGCTTGTTCCGATCTGATCTATGACATGTGGTTCTTGTTAATGAGTGCAGGTTGGTGGGGCTGGGGGGGTGGGTTTGGGTGGTTTCCCACACACCTGCAAACCAGAGACAATGACAAGGATCCTCATCTGGGGAACCTTTCTCAGAATTTTCTATACAGAGTGGCAGCCCTAGAAAGGCAGGCTTACAAAGTCAGGAGTCACAAAAGGCCTGAGAACATTTATCCCTTCAGTATTAAACTCCATGACTGTGTCTGCCAAGAGGTGACAAGTTTCCACAAGAGGTCAACAACATCAAAAGGTGATGACACATTTGTGGGCTGCCAAAGTTTTCTCTGAATGCCAGCAATGACGTTTTGGGTTTAATCAGTAAAGCACACACATTGATCAATTAATTAATCAATTAATTTTCATGTGAAAGAAAAGGGAGTCCCCAACACGTTTGTCAAAGGTAGGTTATTTTGGGGAATGTTATTCAACGTTAGATAATGAACTCATCCGGGGAAAAGCTGTAAACATCGGCATGAATCAAAGATCATCACGGATCTGCAAAGATCAGCAAGGATCAGCAAGGATCAGCAACAAAAAGATACATGCATTTTTTTTTGTTGGTACCACACTCAAAGTTGCTACCCGCATTACCTAAGAGTCTAAAGTGGCCAGCACTACACAGGATATACTTGTACTGTTAATCATACACAAACTGCACCATCTGTCACAGGTCTCAAACTATTTGGGGAAAGGCACTTTTGAGATGACTACATTACGAAACATTCCAGTTACGTAAAAATTGAAGAAGGCAACTATAGCTCAAATAGAATCCACAAATGTTCAGGATTGCCAAGGCTTTGGAATGGTATCAAGTAGATCTTCCCTTTCTTTCTTCAGAGACATGTCTGTCAGCATGTTTTGTATTTTCATATACCATACCCTCAACTTTGCCAATGCCCGTTTTTACTAATTCATGCAATTATTTCTTCTTTTATTTTCCTATTTGTGAAATAAATGCTCACAGCAGGAAAACACTTGTGCACAAGCAGGCATTTCAACTGGTCCTTTTTGCCTCATGGCTGTGGAATGATCTGGAAAACTTTCTACTAATCTTCAGTGATTCAACTTAAGATTGAGGGCAACACCCTGTATGACAGTATGCACTCTCCCACCTAGACTTCCAGAAAACTTTCCTCTTAGTCTTACAAGAAACCAATGATGATGGTTTTGTGGTTAGATTTTGATTCGGCTAGCTAGCAGGCAACTATGTAGGGGGGAGGGAGTGGGGAGATGTGAAGGCATTAGTGTTAGGCAAGAGCTGGATCACTCCCACAAACCCCAGCATCCCTTTCAACAAATCTAGGCATCAGCCGGCAGCTCTATCCAAACCCCCACTGAGAGGACACATGAGACCGCAATCATGGCTACTGGACTTTTCTGGGTGTGCTTGGTTGCATCTGTCACTGATTGGGGGGGGGGATAGCCAAACTACAAGGTGGGCTGGCCATAGAGATTAAGATGGATTGAGTCACTCTATCAAATAGTTTTTGCACTGTGGCCTGACAGTTTATTATACAACATTAACAGTGCACTTACATCTGATGAGGTTTCTTGTAGTTGAAACTGCTCTCACTGGGAGAATCCAGACTTGGTCAGTTTCCCACACACTTAGATACCACCTACATGTACATGTACTTTTCCCATAATCCTTTAGTGTTCCTGTCACTCTGCATTTAAAGTGTTGGAACAAAGGAGCCTGTGTTTAAAGTGTTGGAACAAATGAGCCGGTGTTTTGCCTCCAAATTTTGCTTTCCCACCCTGGTATTGAAAAGCAGTGTGGCATCACCCCACCCCATTCCCCAATGCAATGTCACGCACTCTACACATTCTGTTTATGTGGCCCCCTCATTTTTCTGTTTTCACCTTGATGCACTGTAAACAAATCATGGCATTACATTTGTTGTGGTTAATTTCCACGAACACAAAAAATACTTCAAATTCCTTTTTACACAGGCTGCCGTGGCAAGTCTGATTCTGCAATGTGTGCTACATTTGTGGCGGACTTTAACAAGGAAGACAAAAAATGCTACAGTAGTTTTACTGAGTGGTGCTCCTTAAGCTATGACCTGTGTCCTGTCAGTGCCTTTTCAATAGTAACTCTACTGTGGTAAATAGCATCATTCAAACAGCGAGGGCACTTCTGCAGGGATAGATGCACATTCTGAGAGAGATACCTGTAATTTCCTCATTACTTGCAAATACAATTATATCACACTTTTTTAGACTCTGTGTGACAAAAAATGCCCAAATACTAAACTGAAAGTTGTGTTCAATGACTGCATGACTGCACTTTTGTCAGTGCGTTCTATTTGGTATTTCACAATCTGTTTGGTAACTTTCTGAAGAGGAGCTATGGTTGGTATGAACTGGGCTCATGTGCATATTCTGGTATCTCACCTGTATATCAATTCTAAAAACAATGTGGAACCTCATTTGTTAATCATAAGGAGGTTCAGAGCTGCAAAAGGCATTCTAGTCCTGGTGGCCACATTACTTCTGGCCACTATGGACAAGAAAACAAGCTAAATTCATTTTCCGCGTCAGCACTCGTGTAAAAGAGAAAATGATGCAAATTAAATTGGTATCATTCCCTTTTCTGAAATGATCTCCTTCCACTTGTTGGTGCATCAAGGCTTCCAACGCACATCATGCATGGAAGACAGACATGTCCTGTACATGAACAGACACAAGAACAGCAAAATGCGTGGAACAAATAGACTGGTAAATTTCTAGGTATGATGTCACCCCTACATTTAATTGGTAGGGCCTGAAATTTGACACGCCTAGTGAGATATACAAAGTGTGGCATGCCAAGGGCCTGAGTGCCCGCTACCTACCTGGTGGGGTCACAGGCTCCTCCATGACTGCGGTGGCAATCAAGCCTCAATGCCAGCACCAGGCCAGCCTCACGTTATATGTCATTACCAGCACACGCCAGCTGAAATTCACACCTGGTACACATGGAGGTAAACCCTAGCCCCAAAACCGCACTTTGATTTACCACCACATAAATCAACTGCGCAGGCAATCCTTCTCTGTCTTGGGGGTTTTGCGACCCAGTACTGCCTTGTGTCAGGGGTTTAAGTTGACTTAGGGTTCTCTTCTGGGGGGGGGAGGGAGGAGAAAAAGGGGTAAGTATTTTCCAGTAAATACTTTGTTATTCTGGGGGACAGGATGGGCTTTGGAAGGTCACCTCAGGTGATTAGCCTCTGGGAGTAGTTGAGATGTTTCCCCCCTCAATTTTACCAACGATTTCTAGGCCACAGCCGGTCAGCATCAAAGCCCAAACCCCAGACTGCCAGGAATGCATATAATGTTACTGAAAGATAAATTGCGTTAATAGCCACCAATATGTTTTTGTCCTTGGGGTTTCTTTTTGTTAGTGGGAAAGCCGGAATTTTTGAAGGAATGATGGCTCTATCTGCTCAGTATCACTCATTCACGTGATCTAAGCCAATTGACCCAGTATCAGATCAGAAGGGGTACTTCCTCTCACTCATTAGCAGTAACCTGACCCTATTATTACTTCCTACCACTGAAAACAATCGGCTGCTGACCATGGACAGAACAGATAGATGGGCCTCTCCAAAGAATCATTCTGACAGAAATGATGGGTGGATAGGATTAGGAAGCACTGATAAAAATAGCCAACACCTGACCTGAGCAATGTTGGTTTATAAACGGATTGGGAATTCTTGAGGCAGTTTCTGAGGCCTAATGAGAATTTCCTTGAAAAAAGGAAGGCTCTCCTCTGACTCTTTCTGCAGATTTAAATTTTAATCCCGCCATAAACAGCAAAATCTTTGAAGAAACACTTTCAATGGGGCATTGCTCGAATATCGCCACAACAAATGTTTGAAAATATGGCTTTCTAATAATTCTTTAAACAAAGTATGGTTCCAATAAAAAACACTGGTCTCCTGTTATCCATTTTTGACCAGGAATATGCCCAGCCACTTGCAGTACTGATTAGTGTTCTTGTCACATCCTCCATTTCACAGCTGTAACAGGTTGGACTTCAATGCTTTCTAGGAAAATAATAGCGCAAGGTCAGGTTCTGATCCAGTTTTTAAGTCTTGACCAACAGAGGGCAGCAGTCACATTTTCCAGACACACAAACTGAACTTGGATTGTGAGCCTGCTCCTGTCACATACAAACTGTCCTGCCCCAAGCACGTTGGCTGCCATGAGTGCTTTTATGAGCTTCAACAGAACATACTCTTTCTTAGATGTCAATTGATTTTCCTTCCTCACATTCCCTCTGGGGCTCCGACTATTTTTTACTAGTTGCTTTTCATTGCTTCGGTTTATGGCTGTATGTTATACTGAAAAAATTTAATTAAAAAAAAAGGACATCAATAAAATAATGTACATGTAGTAAGTTATGAAAATTATGGCCATAAAATATACATGTACATTTACATGTACCAAACTACTGCACTAAGAGAGAGAAAGAAAAATCCTACAACAAAACGGTTCTTCTTCACCGCTTTGACAATGTTTGCAAAGTCAAAGCAACGCTGTCAATTGGACCCTTTTTGAAAACCATTACACTTCTGCTTCACACATGTATTTTGAAATCATGAGAACAAATTTATGGAGGTTGGAATGTTTCCCTGAACCTGCAACCACAGTACCCACATGAAAGTTTCTGAGTGCCAGGTTGGGATGGCACACTGTGATTGGATGCCCAATGTGACATCATGCACAGACGGCATGATGCTGCATCAGTTGATGACTCGCACACTAGGTGCATGTAATTATCGCTTGTCCACAATCCTTACCATTTTCACACTTAAAGAATCCATACAATAAACTTTTCTTAGAGTTACTTTTTGGGCATGATTAAACTCTTCTTCAGCAAATGAAATCTGCACTTCCAAACATTTAAAACTGACTAAGCTTTTCCAGAAGAGTGAGTGCTCAGAGGTGTGATATAAACCAGGAAGACACTGTTCAGTTTGCGTGTTTTAATGTTCAAATTCTGAACCCCAACTTTGCTCTTTGAAAAATTTGAGAAAAAGGTTGCTCGCTGGCTTATTGCCATTACTCATCAAGAATAAATTGCGATGGAAATCTTTGATAATGAAGTATAAAAAATCTACCAGTATTTTCCGCACAAATTAATGCAACACTGAGGTTCAGTGCATTGGATTAGATCACAGCTTTGCTTATGAATATGCAAATTCATATAGCATAAAAACCAAAAAAGCACCAAAATACAGATAAATATAGCAAAACAATAACTGAAAATAGAGGTTAAACCTTGCTAGTTTCTCAGAGGCTGCTCTTTGTAATTTTAATATTGTAACATTGAATGCATGAAATGTTTATTCGAGCATATCCAAGAGGAAGAAAGAAATACCCTCTAACGTGATGTCATATGCATAATTTAAGTCTATAAGGTTAGTTGAAACATGAAGGTGCTATTTCAAGGATGTTAGCAAAATATTTCAATTACATGGTCCAAAGATGTGGATCAGCTCATACCAAGGGTGCAAGTCTGGAACCTGGCATGAGCGCAAACAAACTGGAAGGGTGACTACACCTCCTGTAACAAGAGTGGGCCTCTCTCAGACAGACAGCATCTGAGATGACACTGACTACCTCAGAACACAATGCCTATAACCTAGGGCTCTATCCCAGACTCCTGCAGTTATCATACCTGTAGATGTCAGCCAACCCCGTTTCATGACTCAGCCACAATCACCCACAGGGTTACACTAAACACCTGGCTGCTGGACACTCACTGACATACACACACCATTATTCCCTGTCAAGTTTTAACTGTTTAAGGAATACCATACTTCCTGGGGAGTCTATGATATCGGCAAGAGCGGTCAAATCCTATTCCACCAACATTCTGCATTCTGTATAAAATGTCTACAGCTTTCAATTCGAGCTCTCATATCTATTATATTGTTAAAACAAACCATGAAATTGCAATTAATAGCAAGCCTACACTGCAGGTATAGGAAAATACATTTATGGAACAAAGTGAGACTACCCTGGTATTTGGTGTAAAGATGATATGGCGAGTATGGTATCCTCGACAAAAGTTCCAATTAGTAAGAAACCATGCAGGACAAATCGATGCCAGTGGAATGCACATCTCGATCCTTTCTTCGGGTGGGGCATAATTGTGGTTAAGATTTATTTGGGAAAGAAACAAGAAAAGAGTAGAGAAATGACATGCCTACCTGTCAGCCGATCCACTTGTCACAAACCGGCCATCAAACACCAGACATGTCACACTATCCCTGTGATGTCTCAGGACTTGCAGACTACGGTAGTCGTCCATCGACCACACCCGGATTGTGCTGTCATGCGATCCGGTCACCCTGGTGAAGGGAATGACAGAAACGGGCAGGTGGGAGGGGGGTTTAGACTCTGGCTGGAGGATGAAGCGGTCCCCATCAAAGCTTCAGGTGGTACAGGCTTGTTTGCTTTAGAGTGGTGTCAGTGTGACACTGGATGCCGAGGAGTCTGGGTACTGTTACATTCCTCTATGTAATCATGTCTCAGATTGGGAGGAAGGAGCATTCCAACGTGTTAATTGTGGCTTGGCACACCTGAATGACTCATCCCTTGGAGAACATGATACAGCCAAGACAAAGTGTTTGGCATAACATTCATTTCTGGGAATATATGTCACATTCACACCTGAGAAAAACTCTTGACGTGCTTAACATGGTCAACTTGTACCCAGCTTTAAATGAAAAGCACTTTGATCAGGTTTTCTAATTACACATCTTTTGGTGGTCTGCTGTGCTCAGGTAGATTCTGTGGCATAACAGCAAAGGGGGGGGAGGGGTAGACACACGCCCCTTGCACATTTATCTGTGCTCCAACCGCCAACCCAAGCTTGAAATGAACAAAACGTACATGTACATGCAAGCAAAACGTCCATGTGCTTCTGATGCCCCCTTGAAAACGTGTGCTCATTCGCGGGTGCTCCCTCACAGATTCAGCCCAAGTCGTATGTACACAGATGTACAAGATGTAACTACTTGTACATTGTGCATCTACATGTATATTTGATTTGAATTAGTTTTTATCCTCTCAAAGAGACCACTTGATGAAAATGACCCTTCACCATATCCATGATGATGAGTGTGACAGTCTAGGAAAGAAGTGAAAGGAAGCCACAATGCCTTGTCCTCAAGCTATTAATATGGAAAACCCAAATGTAATGTGCATGGGCAACCTTGTATCTCCAACAAAATACATATACAGTGATACTGAATCAGTGTTTCTCTCCTTTATGAAGTTTCCCCCTGTCAGGGAACTTCAGGAAGCACACTCATCATTTGACATATTAACCAACACAGTGACACTGCACAGCAATCTGACGCAACAACCAACTGTGGATAGTTTCCAGTCTTGTACAAGGCTTTGGCCTCCACACTCTCAAGAGCTTTAAACAGAAGGGATGTGTTCAACTCACAAGTGGGCCTTGTTGAACTGCAGACAGGACACCACATCTACGTGCCCCGTGAGGGTGGCAAGATTGTCAAATTTGACAATGTCCCAGACCATGACCGTCATGTCCCAGGAGCCGGACACAATGCGGGTGTCGTCAAACTGAAGGCATCGGATGCCTCCCTGCAAGGAGACAAAGGCCAGGGGCAAAAGGCTGCTGGGTTACAACGGGGTTAAGCAATTTGTTAACTTTGCATCCATTAAAGTCAAGGATGATACTAATCGAAACAACTGACATACATATTTACCCTTCAGTGGGTACACTGATCTTCTACTGTATTGGTTGTAAGCTTCAGTTTTGTCGAAACTCTACCAACATTTCTTTTCTTGGAGTTTTGTTAATGTCATTGTAAAAATTAGCCTTTTCCTGCTGTTACCTAAGCAGAGGGATGTTTAATATTTCAAACACTTTGTTTCAATTTCTGTGTTTCCTGAAGAAAATTCTAAATACCAGTGGTGATTCGGTGCACACTTCTCCAATTACAGGTTAGGGAACAGGTGAGAAAAGAATTCAAATTTAAAAAAAATAATGACCTTATTTCATCATCCTCTAGATTTGCATGAATGAAAAATGACATATGATGGATGAGTTCTCTACTGCCAAACTGATCTACTTTGAACCTCTCCCCAAGAAAATAATAAAAATTAAAAAACGGTATGTTATGTGCTTATATTTGTCAATGAGTCATGGACACATACCTTGTGGCCATAGATCTTGCGTATACTCCTCCCACTTCGGATATCCCAGACACGAATGGTTCGATCCATGGATCCAGTGAGAATTCGACATTTGTCAAACATCAGACAGAACACAGCGTCCGTGTGGCCCTGTACGGAACACGAGATGAGATAAAGGGTTTTTCTCTCTCAATTCCTGGGTGACAAAATCAATTCAGCCACTTCATGCCCGATTACCAGTAAACACATATAAATCATAATTCTGTATGCAGTACCAGGTGACGTCACTCTTGTCCCCAGACTAGCGCGATTCTCCTTGAGGGGTTGAGCATGTGTGAAGTCTTTAAGTGGCCGTGGATCATGGCTGGGCAGTGTTGCAAATATCCCCCGTCCAAATTGTCTCAGTCTTTTGAAAAAACTACTATGCGACTAGAAAACTTTCACTAATGTTGAATACATGACCACAGAGGGTCAACATTTATAAACTCTGAACCTGTAATGGCTGTGTTTGTAATACCTTGTCACTTTAAAAAGTAGGCATTTTGGGCCGAAAACGATGCCATGTCAGGAAAAAATTTGCTGTGCAGTAATACCATGGCAAGTGCTTATTAGAGGCCAACACTGACAAAACAGTCAGAACTGCAATGCTTGGAGGCCAGCAATAAAAACCTTATTTTTAGAAACAAATGCAATCACACAGGTATATTAACTTTAAGACAGTAGAAACTTCTCTGTACTCTTTACAACACTGTACATACATGACTACCCTTGAACCCAACACCTCACAGATCCTTTGAAATCTAACGGAAACTTTTTGAGTATTCAGGTAGGATTGCCATGTGACTCATATTTGCAAGGAGTTTGACAGCACTTGAAAAAAAATTGTTAATGGGACTTTGGCTTATTGCACAAGTTTTTGGAGGAACTGAGAAACTTTCAAGCACAACATTTCAGGAATCAAGAGATGGATTAACAAGTTTTGCAGAAAATACAGCAAAATATCCTAACCCCTCTTTTGATGGCATTATTTTGAGGATTCATAAATGGATAATTGACTGTACCCTAATAGGGCTCAAAGTACCAATGTGCAAAGAATCAATAATGGTTTACAGCACTTGTTGAACCATTAGGGACTGTTTAGGGGGAGGAGTTGAGGGAGCTATCAAGGTTACCTGTAGTCTGCGTACTCTTTTGATCGGTTTAACCCATCCTGGATGTTTGAGGGATTTCATGGGAGGTCCCACGTCTCCTTGCAATTCACTCTTTGGAACAGAATGGAGACAGATATAAATGAGAACAGCATTAATACCGACAAGAAATGGGGGCGTTCAATCTGCCAAAAAAAGAGAGGCACTCGAGAAGGCTCTGATAACGGAATGTGTAACAGAAAGGAAGCATGTAAAACAGGTACAGAAATGAGTTTCCTACTATGAAACAACATGTTACAAAGAAATAAAGGCTGAGATTAGTTCAAATGTGATGCCTCGGGGTCAGTTCTTACTTTTCTTTATGTCAAACACAAGAAAAAGCTTTTTCTGTTGCATGGTAAATAGAACTAACTGTACTGAATCCCGTACTTATGTCTTTAATTCCTGCACTGTTCACATCTTATTTGAACAGTCCACAACATAAATCTAAAATTGTCATTTTCAGAAATTGTTTTGCTTTAGAATTTAGAATTGCCATGGTTTGCGGGGACCCCAGACCAAACTGGATTTTTGTAAAATGGCCAAACTGGAAGTCTGTATTAAACATGGCATCACAGTAGAGGGCTTGACCACACGAAGATATGTAGGAATTAACAGTATCTATGTACTAGAAGGCAGAATTTCCTACCAGAATATCCTTTGCTTGCACCAGCTCTGGCCTGATATCCAAGGCCACGTCGTCGTCTCTCGACCTGGCTGCTTTCTTCTTTTTCTTCTTTTTCTTCTTCCTTGCTGTCTTGTCGGCTGCCACGCCCGGTGCACCCTCTGCTTCTTCGTCTCTGGTTTCGTCCACACTGCCTTCTTTAGCTTTTCTTCCAGGTAAGGGCTGGCCAAGTTCAGTCGGCTTGACAAAAGGGATGGCCGCAGGCAGTTCAGCAGTTGTGGTCAGCTCTGGAAAGAGGCTGTCCGACAAGAAAAGACTATTAGGTCTACTCTTTCCTTGTCACCGTCATACTTTTGCCAACAAGTGGCTAATGCTTGGCTGGTCACCAATACAAAAGAAAGTAATTCACAAAGTGCAAAATCTCACGACATTATCAATGTCAGACTGCGCTACATGAAAATATGACCTTATTAGGACAAAGGTGGTTTTGAAAATTCAGGAGGGATTCAAGCTTAAAAAAAAGCCTTGGAATGAAGGTTACAGATCCAATCCAGAGTAGTGACCCTATGGATGGATTGCAAACTGCCATCTGAATGTACGCTGAATACTAATGTGCAAACTGTAATACATTATAGTATGAACATGCTCTGAAAAGGTGAAACACCATATCATGGGAACTGGCGTGTTAAGTTTGATAACTGTACATAGTCTAAATTATTACCAAAATGTAGGTAAGAAAGAAGCACTATGCTTTTGGCTTTCCCTGATGTCCATGAATATGTCCGTGGTTTTTTCTTTGAGATATGATGACTACAACACAGGATTCTTGCTTGGTTTAAAGAACAGTGCAAACTGAAGAATTTACCCCAGAACCAGCTGGTGCCATGGTGGCCACCATGTCTCAAAAGGACTAATTTGCACAAGACCATTTGGTAGATCAGTTGGTGACATGAGCCAGGTTAGGTCAACCATTCTGCCGAACATTAACACCAAGTCTAAGGTCACCAACAGAAAGTGGTACGAAACTAACGCCAGAATGGATCTTACTTGAAATCCTGTGCGAGACCCTGGATTGCAAACTCAGACATGGTCAACTCCTCAATGACATCCTCATCACTCTCCTCGGCTTCAATGGCCACCTTCATGAACTGGATTGGCACATCAACTGCAAACAGAGATGTATGAAGAATGTATGACGGAATGCGTCTAGAAACATT